TAGCCAAAATTTAGCTGCTGCTGTTACACAAACAATAATAAATGTAGAAAAAAAATTTAAATGCCGTGTACGTAGCTTTGTTACTGATAATGCTTCAAATATGGCAAAAATGAGGGACGAATTAAATGCAAAATTTGATATAATATCATATGGCTGTTCAGCTCATTTGCTCAATCTTTTGGCAAAAGATTTGCAAGATTCCATGCCTAATGTAACAGAACATGTTTTACAAGTTATAACATATTTCCGAAATCATCAAATAATTAGAGCTAAATACAATGAGCTTAAAGGTACTGGATTAATTCGGCCAACTGAAGTGCGCTGGAATTCTATGTGTGATTCATTAGAAAGCTACATCAAGAATTGGTCAACTTTCATGCAAGTTTGTGAGGATAATAGGGATGATATCGACACCAATATCAGGTCAAAAGTCATGAATATGGCAATTAAAAGAAATGCAGAAGATATGCTTTTAATGTTAAAACCCATTTCTGTAGCATTAGATAAAATGCAAAAAGATAATTGTAGTTTATCAAATGTTGTCAACATCTGGAAAAATTTAAAGGAAACTCTGAAAGATTCTAATAATAATTGCTGCAAAATTTTTTTTACTAAACGATATGAACAAGCGTTAACACCAGCTCATTTCCTAGCTTACCTCTTGGATCCTAATTCTGAAGTACAATGTTTAACACTAAATGAAAAAGATCAAGCTGTATACTTTGTTAAAGAAAAGTATGGAGAAACCTCCTTATTAAGTATTTTGCTAAAATCTACTTACAACAGAGGAACAGATAATAAAGCTCAAATTGAAAGCCAAAATCTGCCAGATCCTTGTAATCAGCGTATTCAGTGTGATGAAGATTTGACTGCTACTGATACTGACATAAAGATAAAGAAATTCAAGACTACAGATATTAGCCCATTTATTGTGAAAACGCCAACCAATCTTAAAGATACACTAGATTTACAAGTAGCCAAATTCTTTTCTTCTTAATGTTGATAAACCTGTCTGAATCGTAATCTCTACGGTCTCCAACATTATCAGGACTTAATATAATTCCAAATAATTAAGCGGCGTATATAACGGAAATTTACTATAATCGAATAAAAAGTACAGGTTTTGTTCAGAAAAATGTACCACTTTTGCACCCCCTCCAAGATTTAGAGGAATATATATTTTACGGAAGGAAAAAAATCATTCACATAAACAATTTTTTTGCTGAATTCACGATTTTATCGCATTTAGCAATGCTTAATGTGCCCTATTTACTCTTAAAGCCATATTTACTCTTACATTTTCCGCATGGAGAAAATGTGCAATACGAAACATGCATGATCACTGACATGACTAATCTGCCATTATTTGACTTAATTAAAAAAGTGGTTAGCTTATCGTAACAAAAGTACATAACATAACAAAATAACATTAACATATATACATCAAAAACAAATGCATTACCAACTGTTTCATTTTATCAGAAACAGTTGACATTTTTTCTTTGGTCACTATCATAACAAACAAACATTACATTCAATGAAAAAAGTTATACCTAAATATTCCTTTCTCTTTTTGGTGTTTATTGGCTTCAGCACGAAAACATCTGCTTACAGCACAAATCTTTAATGGCAACTCATTAACATCTAATGTCTTTCCAGAAAAAAAAGTAGCCAATGCCATTTCAGAAGTTCCTGATAAACAAACCTTAGGAGCCCACTCATTGTGAATATGATAAACCTAAAAAATTTTTAAACAATAAATATTTTTCACTTACTGAAAGCTTTATTTTGAAAATTAAAACTACCATAAATACAAATTACTGCTGGTTTATAAAGTAAAAACTTAAATCCTTAAGATCTTTAAGAAAGTCATATCTTAAGAGCATTCAATCTATATACCTTGGGCAAAATTTTAAAATTTAGCAAACTTAACCTATTTTATATCAGTTTTAAGCTCAAAGTGTATATTTTGATGTTAAGACATTTTGATTTAGACTAATATTTAATTAATGCTTTCATTTTCAACTGGAAGCTCATGGTTCATTACAATTAAAGAAATATATGAAATTAAGAACTTAACTAAATGCCCTATTTTTAATTAGTTTTACTGCAATTTATTTGTACTGATATCAATCATATGACAAAAAAATAATTTTTGGAAAAATATAATTTTGACAATATAATTTTTTTTTTGTTACATCTATTACAAAAATTAAGTAAAAGTTATATTGTAACAGGGTTGGAGTTTTTGCCGGCAAAAAGGGGTTTCTGCCAGGACAGTGGCAAAAACCTGGTAAAAACCGGCAAAAACTGGTAAAAACCGGCAAAAACCAAATTATCTAAATTGCTGATTAAATATTATTACAAAATACTTGAAACAAATTTAAATCAATCATAAGGAATAATAATTTTGATACATTACATGAAAAAATTATTTTTAACATATTAATAATTAATATACCTAAGGGTAATAATTTTTAAAAGATTGAAAGTTTTTGATCTCTTTTCATTTTAGAATCCTAAAATAAATGTTTTTTTACAAATAAATATTATTATTTGTATAATACTATTATTTATTATAAAAAATTATTATTTGTACAATAATTAACTACACATGTTGATAGATATTTTATGCTTTAAATTATAGTTATATTAATTTAAAATAAGTTCATTTCACTGGAAAAAAGAGAATAATCACAAATTTTCCAATCAATAATGTTTTAAACTACTAAAATGTTACATTATCATTTAATTATGGAATAATAGTTTTGTTAATTTTTTTGTAATTATTTATATTCATAGTATATATTTCAATTTTAGGAATAATTTTGTATCAAAAATGTGTTTTTGTCCTCTCATCTTGGAAAATATAGGTTTTTGCCACTTTTTGCCACTTTGCTTGGCAAAAACCTGTTTTTGCCAGGACGGTTTTTACCGGTATTTACCATGGTTTTTTCCACCTGCGGCAAAATCTTGCCAACCCTGTATTGTAAGATTGTAAGAACTAAGTAATATCTTTTAAAATTTTTTCGGGACTTTTTAATAGGTTAAAAGTCAAGTAATTGTATTTCCAAACAGAATTTTTCAAAAAACTGGTGTTATAGATGTAACACATATTCGTAGTTACGACCTAACAAATCGAGAGCTCATTTTTTTCTTTTTTTAAAAAAGAGACTCCTGTAAATGATAATAACACACATAAATATAATTAAGAGAAACTAATTAATAATATTCCTAAAATAGTTCTTTTTTATAACTATCCCAGTATTCCATTGAACTTTGAATATATAAGACAAGTTTTTTCTTATGATATTTTTCACCAGCAAGCTGATAATATTTAAAAATTAAATTTAAATTAGCAATTAAATATTAATGCAATTTAAATATTAGCAACATTATTTGATGCTCATTAATTATTTTAATCTGAGAACAGAAAACATTATAAATGATATATACAAATGGACACATGCAGCATTATAAATGAATTATAAAATTTTAAATGGAAATATGAATATGCAGTATTGTTTTCACGTAAAATTAATGTGGTTAGGTTAAACATGAAAATTAAAAATTATATTAAAAAATCCAACACAAAGATATGGATTTATCGTTTCTTAAGGGATACAAATAAAATTTTAAGAGAATGTATTTTGTGAAACTGCCGTTTTTCCTAAAGTTGAATTTGTAAAGGAACCGCTAAACGGTAGTAAATTCGGCCTGGACAGACCCCTGGTATTATATAATGTAACAAAATAGTGATATTTATGATAAATATTTCTTAAAACTGTTATAAATTAAATTAAACATACACTAGAACATTTATAAAAGGGCTGGGGAAAAAATTCAAAAATGCAAACAAATTATTGGAAAAATCCTAAGTTATCTTGTCATAATTTACATTCATTTGAATATTTTAAAAATTTCCTTTCAATACTTGAAACTACATGGCTTACTCTAGGTTTGTCTGAACTCACGTTTTTTATACTTTAAATTAGTTATGGAGGGAAAAGAGATTTTGCAATGAAAAGTTTCTCCTGTAGTACGAGGTCCTTTTAAAAGTGCAACATGTTTACTATTTTCAAGAATGCATAAACCAGACATGTCTTCATGTGAATTTCAGTGAGAAATTACTATTTTCAAACAAGATGAGGCACAATGTGCATACTGAACATATTACCACAACAACTGCATAAATCCTACGAGAGATATCACATGCAATGATCTCAGAATGCTGAACACATGACAAAATTGCTGTGCTCACATTTAATAACAATTTATTCTTAGTTTAATTTAAATTTCCTGTATTTTCAAGGTTTTTCCCGTGGAGCAACAACCTTGTGATACTGGGTTTCAAAAACATGCAAATAAAAATCGTGCCATCAGATTTTTAAATTGAGTAAATCACAAAGCGAAGCTTTTTAATCATGTGAATCAATGTTTAATATTATATTTGCGTGATTAAGAATTATGATATTAAAAGATTCCAGTGCAATTCCAAACATTCAAAATGGTAAAAAAATTCGACGAAATGAAATTGGCGGAAGAATCACACCTATGTAAACATCACGGGGGGATTTCAGTATCGCGATCTGTGGCAGAATTATTGCCAAGTCTTGGAAACTTCCGGGCAGAGGCCAGAGAGAAACTGTAAAAAAAAAACATCACAAAAAGGGACAAACTTGAAAGGTATTACTTATAGCTACCCCCGTGCAAATATCTACATGTTTCTTTTTTTAAATTTGCAAATTTCAAATCTATTTGGCACTTTGGCGATTGCAGTTGACGCGACAGATCACGATACGGAAATATCCCCAACATCTCGCTAGCAAGATATAGCAAAAGTTTCAAAATTTCTTTGGATTATAAATTTTTGATTCGTTGAAGTCTGCAAACGAATGGTCTTGAGATACAATGAGAAATACAGGATTTTTGCAGAAAAACCCGCTTACTTTTTAAGCCCAGAAAAATAATTTTAAAAAAAAATATAGAATTTCACGGTACACCCAGAACACAATAGATCTTGATAGAAAATGGGTCGTGGTCGATTTTACATCAGATTTCATTGAACAGATAATTGAAGAACCTTTTAAAAATTCTATTACGGAGAAATTTTTAAAAAAAGTCCAGATGAAAATTTTTCTGGATAGTTAGGGAAGGCTATGATAGCAAAACTCTCAACAAAAAAAAAAAAAGTACAATATCACAGATTTGAGGGAAAAATTTAACTTTTCTAATTTTACCCAATAATAAAGTCAGGAGTCTGTCTAGGTTTTTCTGAGAGGTACTATTTCGTGAAAACTTATGACATAATTCGTGAAAATTAATAAATTATTTATAAAAATCATTACAAAAATATGGATGTATAATTTCTTACGAGATACAATAAGAAAATTTTTAGAAAAAGTATTTCGTGAAACTATGTTTCCTAAAGTTGAATTTGTTAAGGAAGGACATTTGCCCTGGACAGACCTCTGAAATTTAATTGCGAAATTGTATAGAAATTCTCACCCACTGCTTAAATCTATCTGTTGTAACTTATCAGGGCTCTGTCCAGGCTAAATTTACCATTTAGCAGTACCTTCACAAATTCAACTATAAGAAAAATGGTAGTTTCACATAATACTTTTTCTTAAAATTTCATTTTTGTACCCTGTAAGAAATGATAAATCCATATTTTAATGTTGATTTTTTAATTTAATTTTTAATTTTCATAAAATAGGTACCTCTCAGAAAAAAACTAGACAGACTCCTGGTTTCTCTCTTATTACTTAAAACTTTTGTAATCTTAAAATTGTAAATACAGAGAAGAAATTGTGCAAGATATCAAAAATTTTAAATCTTAAATGATACTGTTTAGAATATTAGACAATTTAGGTATAAAACTAAATTAATTTACACACATATAGGAATTAATTTAAATACCTGAGAATGTTTGTTTTCTGTTCGCATTCCACAGTTTTCAAAACATATGGAATCTAATATATCCGGGACGGACATCAACATAAACCCTTTTTTAGTTAGTTTCTCCACAGCATATCTAATTAATGATTGTTCTAGAAGAGCCAAGTCATTTTTCAAAAAGTAACTCTTACTACCACACATTTGTCCTAAATTTTTCGTTCTTAACAAATTCAGTCGCTTAGTAAGATTATCAAAAGTTGAAGGAAAATAAGTAAACGCAGTCTTTGAACCCATTTTATGTAGTACAACTGGCTCTTCTGATCTATTTCTTGCTACTCTCGGATGCATAGCATTTGGGAACCAAAACAATTTGGGTGTTATGGTTTTTTTTAACTCTGCCGCTTTTATAGGATCACTTTGATGTAACTGTTGAAGTCCTTTAAGTACATCTTGTAACTCACAAGGAACTTTTCGTAATATGACATTGGAAGATATTTCCTTCAAATTTGACGGATTACTCAAATAATCCCAGTCAACTGCTCTTTCGGTGAAATTCGAAGATGTACAGAAACATCGCACGCGAATGTTACGAATTAAATCTCTAAATAACATAATAAGAAAAACAGTATAAAATGGTAAACACACTAAATAAAGGACACACTTTTAGAAGTTACGAAACAATCAATTTAACAAGAATAATAACCATTAATAATTAAGCAATACTTTCTACATTACTCAAAATTCCATAGAGCGACGCGGTAGAAACGAGCGCCATAATAGTGCAAGTTGAGTTGAGGAGAAGGAAAAGTGTTTTTTACGCTTTTCTTTTTACGCGTGTGCTACGCCCGACATTGATTCTAAAGAACCGTTTTCATCACACGCGATTCACGCACCTCCGATCCTTTTCTCTTGATGTAAATAAAAATACATTTTTCGACATATTTTGGAAAAGATAATGAAGAAGAAGAAAAAATCGTTTCACTATTAACTACCGGGCACGAAAAGTTATTCCTAAGTCCTACATGAATAAAATTTATATGGAAAACGTGGTAGTACCAGTGCGCAAAAAGTAAACTTATTACCCTGAATAACTTTTTATCTAATGATCATATCTTCACTTTCTGGATCTCAATCTTAGTGGTTCTAGGGGTGACCTGAAATATACGAATTAGTTAGTGCTTTTAGTAAGTTTTTCTATCTTATTTCGTAATTTATAATATCATTTGCTCCAATTAAGTAGCATATTTGAGGTTAGCTATTAAGATTGAGTCCTAAAACGTAAAGATCCGATCTTCAAATCAAATGTTATTCAAGGAGGTTCATTTTTTTTTCTTCAGATCTGTAATTCAGAGAATTCGTTTTTTTCTCTTCACACTGAACATATTTATCTGTACTGTAATACATACATTCGTTCATATACGTTCAGTTATCACTGCGATAATACACATTGTAAAATTGAACCCAATTGAAAGAAATTAAGTTTGGACATGCTTACAGCAGAAGATTTTTACTTTATATTATTTATAACAAACTTTTACTTAAGCAATTTTATGGAAATCTTTAAATATCTTTCAAAAGAGTCAAGCAACACAATGTCCTGAGATAGAGATGGTGCTTTTAAAAGATATGTGTTGTGGCACTCTTAGTTTAAAGCCCATCCACCACGACAAGGTGGTGCCACAGCGGACAGGAAAAAAATCAGTTTCCAATTGTCCTTAGGCCAAAAACCGTAGAAAAAGCAAAAGTGAAATTGGTTTTTAATTGTCCTTAGGCCAAAAACCATAGAAAAAGCTAAAATTAAGCAAGTTCAAAGTTAATCAAGGACGGCTTTGCTATATTGCATAAACCGCCTAGAGTTGTCAAAATATGATAGCCCAAAGATTTTCCTGCACTCATTTCTGTTAAATAAGTGGGAGGCCATGTTGACTTCAAAATTCTATATGATTTTATTCTGCGAATACATCGCTCAATGTGAACTCTAGCTTTAGAAATAATCCTTGAATGAGAAACCTCACGACCAGACAACTGACTTTTGCCTGTGGTAAAAGCAGGGACAACAATTCTAGCACCCTTCAAACCAACAACTTCCTCAATTCTGAACCCTCTGTCGGCTAGTATCTTGTCCCCACTTTTAACCAAATTCAAGAAGCCAGAGTCAATTGTTATTTCTTTGTCAGAGTGTCTTCCTCCATACAATTTTGACAAAAATATTATGCCGCCATCAGGGCTACAAGCAATCAAAAATTTAACGGTATTATGATGCTTGTAATTGGAGTAGGTCTGACTCCGAGCATCTAAATTACGAGGAGTGTCAATGAAGATATCAGAACAGTCGATGACACAAACAACATTTTGAAAAAATTTATGTCGAAAACATTGAGGCATGACTTTAGGCCCGTGAGATGGCCAGGCAATGCAAGAAGATAGAGAGACAGACATCTTTTCTACCCACTCTCTAAATATTCGGCTCACAGTTGCAGAACCAACTCCAAACCTATAAGCAAGATCTTGGTTTAAAAGACCAAGCCTTAGTTTCATGAAGACGATGAGCAACTGAGACTCGGAAGAAAGCTTTGTCTTTACGGCTGGTTTCCACCCAGTGGTCAACCACTGCAATAGAGCACGAAATAAAACAATGCTTTTTAGTTTCGTGAAAAAGTTCACCTGTTTGTCAGAGCTTAAAACATCTGAGGAAGATTTTCTCGACTTTTCACACTGAAAAACCTTCCTTCTTAAGTTGAGGGTTGTTTCTTGACTGTCACCTATATCTTTTTCTAACTTGTCAATATCCATCATGGATAATTCGGTCATTGTTGAAATTGATCTTGTGGCAGCCACAGAACTATCAGCTTGATCTGTATAAAAATAATAATATGTATTCCTTAAAAAATAAAAAATCAGGGATCCAAAAAACAGTGGATAATTTTGCCTTGTTTCTTCAGACCATAGACCATTTTGAACAGGAACGATTGGGGCAAAGTACAGAAATTCAAGACATTCTTAAAGTTGAATAGAGGGCATGGTATGGATCATTGTTTCACAAGTGTAATGGCATGGGATCATTAGTTTACAAGAGGAAAATGCGTTACACATGCTTATTAGTGAATAAGCCTGCATATTGCATTTTCCCTTTGGTGGACGGGTAATAAAAAAAATTCATTTCTATACTTGACTGTATAAATATAATAATGCAAAAAAGTGGAAATACAATTAGAATAAGGAAATTGATAATTCTTAATTAATAATTAAGTAGGAATAATTAGCTGTACAGNTCTTGACTGTCACCTATATCTTTTTCCAACTTGTCAATATCCATCATGGATAGTTCGGCCATCGTTGAAATTGATTTTGTGGCAGCCACAGAACTATCAGCTTGATCTGTATGAAAATAATAATATGTATTCCTTAAAAATAAAAAACATTTTTGAAAGTAAAGTACAGAACTTTTTATCAGGGATCCAAAAAACAGTGGAAAATTTTGCCTTGTTTCTCCGCCATTTTGAACAGGAACGATTGGGGCCAAGTACAGAAATTCAAGACATTCTTAAAGTTGAATAGAGGGCATGGTATGAATCATTGATTCACAAGTGTAATGGCATGGGATCATTAGTTTACAAGAGGAAAATGCGTTACACATGCTTATTAGTGAATAAGCCTGCATATTGCATTTTCCCTTTGGTGGACGGGCAATAAAAAAAATTCATTGCTATACTTGACTGTATAAATATAATAATGCAAAAAAGTGGAAATACAATTAGAATAAGGAAATCGATAATTCTTAATTAATAATTAAGTAGGAATAATTAGCTGTACAGTAGTAAACGTTTAAGCTAGTTTTCAGAAAAAACGTTGCTCGCCATTTTGAATTGGAAAGACTGAGTTTTGCTTAAAGCTGAGTAGATGGAAAGGTAGAGAGGTTAACCTCTATTCAAAGTGACCAAGTTCGAAAATCCAAGTAACCCATGAAATTCGAAAATTACATACATAGTTTTTCTCTAACAATATTTTCATTTTATTATACTTATAATTAAAAAACATGTTTGCAAACCTATGTCGATTGAATATAATTCTGCAATATGCAACAGCCAAATAGAGTAAATTTTGCTTGTTGGTTCTTAGTACATTATCTCAAACTCCTAAATATATTTATGGTAAAAACATATTTACGGATTTTGATAAAGTTCTAGGATATTGTAGAATATTTTTAATTAAGTTACACATAAATTAAATGTGTTAACTTTAAGAATAAATTCAAATCTAAAATAAGTGTTAAAGAACAATACTTAACCCATTAACTGTTGACTATTAAGTTCAGAGTACAATCTGCTTACGATCTTACAAAGTAAACCAGTTTCTCACATGCTATTACTGGCAATTCTCGGCGTGGTGATTTTTGACGAAGTAGTGTTCGTTAAAAAGTTAATCAGGAAAATTTAGTTATTGGCACAGACAGGGCATTATGTCTAACACAAATTTAATGAGAGATAACTCAAAATTAAAAGCTTATCAGACACATGATGCAACTATCCCAAGATTAGAAATTTAACTACATAACAATACAAAAGTGTTCATTAATTTATCATAGAGCACTTTATTCTTAATATCAAGCAAATAAAACCTTGTCACAAACATTTACAAAAAAAAAAAAATCATTGTTTACCTTTAGACACTCCACGCCTTACAGTTCTTTCAACCCTCTGCACACTTCCTGAAGCCAAAGAACTTTTATGATGAAAGACTGATGGCACATAATCAGGATGATTGGGATCATCAGATTTATTTCTTAATAATTTTAAAAAACAAAATAAATTATCTATACATAACATCTAATTATATTTAAGCTTTGCAACTGTCCAAAATTTATCAAATAACAGCTAGTTGGTTATTCAGTCACCAAATTATTAAATACTACCATCCTATGGTTGCTTAAACCATTGGGGTATATATCATTTCAATGGGTTAATTTCAAATACCGATTTTATTATCACTGTTTTGAATTAAATTTTAAAAACAATAAAATTTTCAGTTTTGCTAATGCTTTGCAAATTACAAATCTTCCACTGTCTTCCACAGAAACGACTGACCAGTAAAATAGCAAGTCACAAGTAAAAAAATATATAATAAAATAGCCAAAAACAAAGTAATAGTCACCAGTAAACTTTTTTACACAAAATTGTAGATGTAAATGGTAGTTGCTAATGTGTAACCAATTTACAAAGAACACTACCTTTCCATTTGAACTTGTAAACCAAACCTCAAACATATACTAATTTTTAGAAAAAATTAAATATTTCCTGAAACACTAACAACAAAACACAGATTTATAAAAATACTTATCACACTTTGACTTATTCTAGGTAAAAAAAACTTTTTGTTTCCAGCAAACTAGTCACTCTGCTTTATTTTTATTCCTCAATCTATGTGATTTACTACACATGCATACAAAAATTGTAACTGTTCCACAACAATTAGCAAAAGGTTGTTTTGAGCAAATGCTCTCAAATTAGTAGTAGACTGACGTTAACGATTAGCTAAGAGGCATGCAAATGATAGATTTTTCAAGACATAAGACATTACATTGTTCAGAGGCAAACAGAAAACGAATATCTAGAAGAATGCTTACAATGAGGACTTAATAACATTAAAATGTCTTTCTATAGAATTGTCATACAATACATATTTAGAATGCAGCACATAGAAAGAAATATTTCATAACAACGAATCAAGTATAATGCATTTTGTACATCTGAAAAGTGTTCTTACCGCTAATAAAATGGCTACTACATATTCGAGAGTATACTGTGAAAGTTCAATCCTTCCGTCCACTGTGCCTTCAGAATCGGATCTTTAGGGAATCGGATCATCTTGATTTCTGATAACAAATTTGTGCCAAATCTCCTAGAGCATCCTACAGCGACACAACAAGAGCCACTTCGAGTTTTAGAATTCATTGTAAACTAAGTAATAAGTATTCAAATAACACGTTTGCAAGAAACTTAAAACACACTGATCACGTTGTGAGCCAAATGGCTTTAAAATACACCAGAAACAGTATCCCGGAAGTATAAGCGGCATACAGCTTGCAGCGCTCCCTAGTGTAAAAAACACCATCCATAGGTACTTTATTTACGTCGCACTAAAGGTTCACTATGGTCTATTGGCGATTCAGTGGGAAACATCCCTAAAGATGATCTGAAGATATGTTATCCCAATTTTGATCCTCTGCAGAGAGGATGGTTCCTCCGATCTGGCAGCTTAACGGTCTGTGCACGAAGTCGAGCACTTTGCGACAGAGCAGTGTAACGAGGACCGATACCACGCGCGTATAAGAAGTTCCTACTAGGGATGACACAGTTAGCGAACATTTTTATTAGCTTTGAAGGAGTGCTCCCTCAAATAATCGCCAAACAGCTGTACGTTCATGTTTTTGTTTTGTTTTCGGTATACAGTAGAGCGCCGATTATCCGAACGTCCAATTCTCCGAACCATGTCCGAATTCACCTTTTTTTTTTTTAAAGTTTAGAATACTTTTTAATTTATTGACAATTTTTCTAAATTTAGAAGAAAAAATAATATCCACTACATCTGAAGACCATATCTTCCAAGAATGCGAACTTCAATTTGACAGTCTACAATGGTTGAAATGAGGAAGTAACTTTTGAACAGATGTGTGAGAAGTTCTACAATTGGGGGATGGGTACTTGTCCCTTATGGTTAATGATTACAGTGCTTGGAATCTTAAATCTTGGAATAAAATTCTTAACAAAGAAATAAACGAAACTGAAGTTTCTGAACCAGTAGATCTTCCCGATGAAAAGATGCCAGGTTATACAGCAGAAGAAATTGAAGACTGGTGTCGAGGCTTTGAAAACGAACCAGGATTTTAAATTTTAAACGATGATGAAATTTTGAATGAAAATCGGAACTCCACAGACGAAGAGGAAGAAGTAGGTGATCAAATTCAAGATAGTGGACCTTCTCATACAGAAGCATGCAATTCATTTGATATTGCAATGAATTGGCTAAAACGTCAAAATGATGTTGATCTAGTTCAGTTGATTTATTTAAAAAAAGTCTTGCTTTATTTCTTTTGCAACGGAAAATAAAGAAAAATTTGGTAAAATCATTAATTGATAAAAAAAATTTATGAAAAGCTGAAGTATGATAAAAATAATTCAAAATGATAAAAATAAATCAAAATGATAAAAATAAATCAAAATAATAAATAAAAATATTTAAAAATTGAAAAAAAAAATTTTAAACACACCAGAGCTATTTTAGATAGTGCCAGCAGATCTCGTCCAAATGGGACAACTTTTCTGCAAGTGCGTGTTATTTAACTGTATTATACAACTCCAATTCAAAATATTAGAATAACCAAAAAAGGCATTGTATTATCTTATAAAATGCGTGATATCTTTAAAAATAAACAACGGTGGCGAACGGAAAAATTATTAACCGTCCACAATTAGTTGACGTATGATATTATTGTTCACACGCGCCTAAAGAAGTATTAGAGATTTTATAAAAAAATATTGAAATTTTTCAAAATATTAAAATATTTCCAGAGGCTATTCAAAATATTAGAATATCTGTAAAATTGTGTGATTGGTCAACGTTAATCATAAAATTTGCATAAGTTGCGCCACTGTAGACCTAGTACGCGTATAAAGGCTCGTTTGAAAATCAGATTTAGTTAGTTGGGAGTTAAAATGGGTCGAACAAAAGACATACCGGACACTACCAAGACAGCGATTGTGACTCTACGCAATGAGGGAATTAGTCAACAAATGATTGCCAAAAAAGTGAAT